TTTATTAATCAGAAGTCAACTTTCGAATCAAAGGGCGCGTGTGACCCCACAAGGAATTACACTAAACTCGATAAGATAAATATTTTTAAAATCTACTACTTTGGTCAAATTATATTAACAATGCAGTTGTTAATTGTTTGATCTATAGCAACAATCAAGCTTAGCATGACATCTTAAAAAATTGCTCGTACCACAAAAGGCGCTCCATCCTGAAAATCACTCTGTTACCGAAGATCCAGTTTTTTTTTCTCTTAAAAAATACTCAGATATATATATATAGAGTATTATTACAAATCCAACAATTTAAAATTACAATAACTTTCCTACCTTAAAGTCAAAGGATCCATTTTCATATTATTCATGTTACTGAAATTTCACGGGACGGCTAATTATGATTTTAGACACTCGCAGAAAGGAGCAAAGAATATTAAAGGCCACAAGATTATACAAGATGTAGAAATAAAAGATTTATATAATAAAAATGAATCTGATTTCTAGTTTTTAAGATCTTGCCAATTCCAACCACAAAACAATAATATACCAAATCCATACTAAAATCCGAAAGAAAAAAAAAAGAGTAAACAAAGCAATATGGGTCCTTTGCTTCACATCTTACAGCTAAGCAATGGGGTCGCCAGTTTTGACTTCCATTATAACCGATGGATACTTAAAGGATGAATTCATAATGCTGTAAATTGTATGAATACTATCACTACACCAAAATTAGTTTTTTGTGACAATTAATTTATTATTTAGCGGTCATATAAATGGTCATTATTTTTTATACCAGCATTTAACTAATGGCTGGTGTATCCAGTGTCGCTAATACTATTACCGGTATTTATATAAAATGCCGGTAAAGATCTACTAAATTGTCAAAAAAAATTTATTTATTTTAGTGGCAATTCTAGTAGCCATTTTAAATGCTATTAAAAGTTATTTTTTTTCAATTATCTCCTTTACTTTAAATAATTTATTCCTATAATTTCATTTTCTAAATTCATAACTTATATACATTTTTATGTCTACTCGATTTGAGATTTGTAAGATGAGAATTGTCTTTTATTTATATATTTTTTAATTTATTTTTTTAATTGTCTTGTATTTTAAGATATGTGAGATTTATAAGGTGAAAGTTACTCTCTAATTGTTTTATAGCACTAACTTGGTAACAATGAGTGATTTGATACCAATTTAAAATAATGAATTAGGAGTCAATCCTATAAAATGAACTTGTAAGGTGATAGTTATTACTCACTTATATACTATTTAATTATCTTATCTCTAATCGATGTGAGACTTAAGTTTTTTTTAATAAATAATTGTCGCTAATAGTAAATTTTAGTATAATATTTAGTGGCTATTATATATTAGTCATTAATATTTTTATATATGACGGTAATTAAATTATTGTCATTAAATAATTGTCATTAATAACAAATTTTGTTGTAATGTATGAATATTCTTGTTGTTAAAATCAATATATATATGAATACTATGAATTTTACTTAATATTTATATTAATTAAAAATATATAAGCCGCGTCGCCATTTGTATCACACGTCTAACTTGAAATAATGTAGAAAATTTTTATACTAAAATGAATTCATGTGGAAAGCAATTGCGAATGGAAAGGTTAAGAAACAAGTGAAAGCTTTTGCTCAATTATTGGAACAAAAGTCACTCTTTGTAATGGTGTGACTGCAGTCTGCAGGTGTCCACCTACCATTGGGTTGCTTCCCAATAATGTTGAGTTAGAGGCGACTTGGCAATGGAATGAAGAGAAACAAAATATCTTTTTATTATTATACTTGATATATTATTATTATTATTATTATTATTTTATTATACTTGATATTGTTATTTTTATTATTATTATACTTGATATTATTTTCTTCCCTACCATTGGGTTTCTTCTCAATTATTATACTTGATATTATTTTTATTTTTATTTTGATCTTTACATGAAAAAAAAATATTTTTTCTTGCATTAAAAATGTTTAGGAATCAGATTTTATCATTCATCCAAGTTATAACGAAGGGATTGAAATTTTCTAATTTAGCTAACATTATGTTCTACAAGAATAACTTAGCAAAATTTAATCGTATCATAACTTCAATTTCTTTTCTTTTCTTTTTTTTTTTTGTTGCGTACGGCGACAACAAGGTTAAAATCATGTGGCCAGTGCATATTATTATTCAAATTTGTTGCCGATATTAAAGGTTTCTATGGTAACTTCAATAAACATTTGAAACTAATTTGTAAGCGATTTTTTATTTTTGTGAAAAGATGAAAATGTATAATTTTTTCATGTAAGATTTAAGGAAAATAATGAAGTGCAGAGACTAAATTTAAATTTACTCATTTTTAGAAATAATTTAATCATTTTTCAAAAAAAATAAATAAAATAATTTAATCATTTTTTTACATCATATGCTTACCAGTTTTTTAAAATAATCAAATAAGAAAATACATATTCACGCACAGGTCTATCATTATTGTTTCAATATATAATTAATTAAAAATATTGTTGTTCAAATAATAATTTTAAAATGTAAAGAAATTATCGAATTACATATTATTCACTACCACATTTTGTGGAGCTAGCTGCTGCACTTGCTGTTACTAGGAATGATTAATAAGTTGTGCAAATACTAGGAAATTAATGGAGTCCAAACAGTATCTGCTTTTCTAACTATTAATAACAAAATTACTTGTTGGTATTTAAAAAAAAAAAAAAAAAAAAAAGAGGATGAGGAATTTATGAAGAACAAAGTGTCATTAATTTTTCTAACTATATATAAATGATCATCGCACCATTCATATTCAGAATCTTGATTTTATTGTCACAAATATTACGTACGAAATGGACCACAACACTTTTAAATGTGATGAATTGTAGATGAAAATAGTTCGAAAAGTACATTGAGGTGGGGCTATTAAACATAAATTTGGCGAGTGTGAACACAAGAATTTTCTCACTTCTTTTTCGGCTAATTTTTTCTTCCCCCAAAAAAGTTGGGCTTATGGACACCGTACCCTTCCCTCCACGTTGCAGCTTCCAGAAAACAAAAGAGGAGCTTCTTCTATTCATTAACTTTGGATCATCCAAACTCTCCTCTGCTATATACTATACGATAGATATGATTATAGTTTCTCCCTTTCAATCTTTCATGTTTGTTAAAATTTATATTTATGCAAACTTCTTGGTTTTGCCCCGCCCTGATATAAATTGTGTATTTTATTTGAGAATTTCTACGGTACCTCTATAAAAGAAGGTACCGATATGGTTGATGATGTGTCACTTACGTGTAAATCTAAGTTATTTATAATTTTTTAATTATTTAAAATTCACATTCAAGTCATTTATGATATTTTATTTTTTCAATTTTTAAATTATTTAGTCATTTTATTTTTATTTTATATATTCTAATTTATTTGTAATAATATTATTATATATTTAAATAGTTTAATTTTAATAATTTTTTAAGTATATTTTTATATATACACTTACTTTTTCTTTCCCCTCATTTTCATTATATTTTCTTCATATTTCACTTCTTTTTCTATCACATTATTTATGACATTTATTAATTTTTTTTATTTATTTTTTAATATTTTATAATATTATTGAAATCTTATAATTTTAATCTCTATAATTTTATCTTAATTTTTATTTTATAAGTATAATTTAGATTATTCATTTTATAATTAAATTAAATTTTTAAAATTTTTTTTATAAATTTATATAGAAAAATGTATTGAAACTCCTCAATCTTTGAGGGTACCGTAGCAATTCCCATTTTATTTTGGGGTCCCGAATTTTTGTGTAAATATTAAGGATTGGTTTTGCTATATTTCACCACATAATCCAATTATATTTAGCAATTTTAAACTAAAATTTAAAAACAATAGAACACTAAACATACCCTCCTACATTGACCACGGAAATTTAAACGACCCAAAGAGGCCTATATATATGAGGTCTATAGTTAAATAATATTACAGTGTGATAATCAACTTAATTTCAACGTGAATTCAATGATCATAGATTTTGGCAGCATTTTAATATTCCAAAGGTCTAAGATTTTGGATCTTTGACTACATTCTAAAACTCGGAAATCATATAGACAGACACACGTACATGATACGTTGTAACAGCGCACCAAGTGTGGAATGCAACCTGTCACCAGAAAGAGCAATCTGAACCCCACAAACAAAGGATGTGACTATGGTCAACCCAATAAACTAGAGACATCCATTTTTTAATTTAATTTTTTTGAATAAAGTAGTAAAACAGAGAAGCACCCCCAACCCAACATTACTAAACAAGACATCGATGACATACTCAAACTTTTAATCTCTCTGACACCAATGCAAACGCACTGTTAAAATATTATTTTTTTAATAAATCGCCTTTTCATATCGTTTAGCAGTGTTAAATTAGAATGCATATTAGGTGAAGCGCTTCGTAAATGTAATAGTGCAATATTTAAGAACTTGTTTGGAGCTTTGTCCAGTTTTCGACTTCAACGCAGAAGCTATTTTTAACTTTGGGTTTGGACGTCAAATACGGGAGTTTTTTACGGACACGAAACCGAACATATGGCCATCTCATCTTTATTCTTTCCTTCTAAACTTTTAATATTTGGAATGGTTCATGTGGAGATAACGAGACGTCTTAACCTTGGGTGGTTTTGGTTCTAGTTGAAACGTGATTATCATTTTGGACTTTGCCTCATTTTGCATAACTGTGAGAGCAGGGACCGGTTTCCACTTTCCCAAAATACAATATAGCCAAGAACATCCGCGTGACGTGTCATCGAGTTATTGCTAGCTGTACTTACTATTACTACGGTCAATTCCTTTCTCTCTCTAACCGATTAAAACTTGTCATTTTTCTTTTACTTTATAGTTTATATACTTCCTTAAGATGTTATTTTTTGATACACAATCAATAACATTTTTTTGACTATAAAGTAGTAGAAGAAGATAGGTGTAAAAAAAGAAAGTGTAAATAGAGAATGGTTTATTAATTATATGAATATGATACAAGATGAGATGAGGGAGGATTTCTACACGTATATGTGATTAATGAAATTTGCATTACCTGAAAGAAGAGATGGGAGACACTCTTGAGAAAAGAAAAGTAGTAGTAGGTCCTTGAGAGAGATGAGAGAAGAAATGTATTAAACCCTTAAAGTGAAAAATTGGAAAAGGGCTCACACATTGAAAGTAAAAGTAAAAATAAAAATAAAAATAAAATGAATAGGAGAAAAAGAAAGCAATGCAGAAAAAATAAATTAATGGTGCCACAAGGAAGTGAAGTCAGCCTCAAAGCCACAAAGAATGAAGCTCTCAGAGTCGTGCATGGAAATCGGATCCCCACAATCCCTGTCATCATAAATGCCGTCACACCACGGTTGAGAATAGGGCCACCCATCCACCGGCTCCAAAAACACCACCTCCTTACCTGGGTCCGGTATTTCGAAACACGTTCCCAGGCTCGGCAGCTCCACGATCTCCCCCAGCTCATCCGCCGTCGACGCCTCCTCCGAAACCGCCGCCAACGACGACGACGACGACGAAGACGACTGCGACAGCGACGGCGTCCTCGGCCCATCCACGCCCTCCATGGCGGCGGCTTTCGCTGCGGCGGCCTGAACGTCCCGCGGCGAGTTGGATTCCGGGCGGGGCAGGGAGGCGGCCAGCTGGGGGAAGTTCAGAATGGCGGAGGTGCCTTTGATGGCGAGCGCCGCCACGTCGTGCGCACGCGCGGCCATCTCGGCGGTGGCGAAGGTGCCCAGCCAGATCCGGTTCTTCTTCCTGGGCTCGCGGATTTCGGATACCCACTTTCCCCAGGCCCGCATTCGGACCCCTCTGTACACGGGGTGCTTGCTGCTGCTGTCTGGGGCCTGCTTGGGCTTTTTGTGATCCGGGCCGGCTAACTGGGCCTCCGAAGAGGAGTGCTTACGGGTGGTAGTAGCAGTAGTGGCAGTGCTTATTATCTCAAACTCTGAGCTTGGAGGCTCAGCCATTACGCTCACGATCTTTTGAATGCTGAGAAACAGACAGTGCAGTGTGTTGTTGTATATATTGGATTATGTGTGGGTGACTCTAACGTAATAATGTTATAGACTTATAGTAGTAGTCTCTCTCTCACTCTCACTCTCTGATCTATATATAGTTGGAGCCTGGAGCCTGGAGGGGGATGAAAAGGAGAGGTATTGCGTGAGTGGGAAGAGGGTAATGGGAGAGAAGAGAGAAGATATGAAAGAGAAAGCGGAAAGGTGTAAGTGACCCCCACACGAATGGCTCATAATACAAAGATCTAACAAAATAACATTTTCTTTTATTTTATTGTGAGAGCCAAGACCAAGACCAAGACCTACGCGCCCTTAATACCTTCACCATTGCCGTTAAAACCACAGCCTGGCAGCTGGCACACAACACTCAACAGGACCCTTCCTTACACCGATTGCCAATTTTTCCTTCCCTTTTCAGTTTTCACTCTTCTTCACTCCCACCTGTTGTTTACTTGTTTGCTTTGTGCCTTTGCCTTGTTGGAGCAGTGAGAATACTATTCTTGTCCCATGCTTTGGTTTTTATCTTTACGCCCCAACCTCTTTTTATTTAAGGCGTTTCTTTGTTACTATTTGATTTGTGTTTGTGAATATGACTAATTTGCCCTCTCACCGCTGCTTCGGTTGATTTTGTCGTGTACCGAAGAAGACGTGTGTGTTTTTTAAAGCTACGGCCACTGTCACTATATTCACATTGTCACCCACCTGACAGCTAGAGATAAGGAACTAGTTTTCACTTTTCAGTCAGCTTCCACAAAAACGTTGCCGTTTTTATTTCTTCTATATATTCACTTGTTCCTGCATGCTCAACCTTGCCTTTCTTTATCTATATTTTTGGGAAGAAGAAACAATGACAAAACATCTACAGACTCTAATTTCTGAATACGGGATGACATAGAATCTAAGCTATAATATAAAAAGATTTGGTCCAACCATTCAACCTATGTTTTCTGGGGGATAAAATCCGATATTTGGCATCTACTTGGAGATGGAGAGTACATGCATCGTGATTCTTCGAATGAATATGGAAAAAGTACTGTTTCTATAACCTATCGGAAACGGACACAGTTTCAGCCAAACAGAATTTTCTATAATTCAATTAAGGGAAAGGGAAACCAACTTTATGATGGATTGAGAAGTCGGTGATATCATTAATGACCATAATTAAGACCCTTTTTCTACATGCCTCTCCATATTTTCTATAATTATTTAATATAATAGAGCGAAAGCACATACCACGTTGTTGCTCCTCATCCTCACGTGTCAATAAACAGTTTCCCTGTATCCAAAATTTATAACCATTTTACCAAAAAAAAATTACACTGTTAATATATAAATGATTAACTTTAATAATAATGTTTTTTAATGTTGATAAAAAAAAATAGAAAATCATATAAATAGAAATTAGTGGTAACATATAGACATTATGCACGTGATTCTAAGTTCAAATTCTGAATAAATAAAAATTATTATTAGTTAGATTAGTAGTTATTGTAATGAGATAAATGGGGAATCAGTTTAGGCTAACCAAATTCAGGAAGAAAAAACAAAAAGAAACTTTTTAGATTCATAAAGTCATTTCTAGGCTTCATTTTCTATTACATTAATATCAAAAATTAATTCCCTTATTTTATAATTACTATATCTATATAGAGAGAGGATATTTCTTTTAATAATTATTTTTTTTTTCATTATTTTTTAAGGCTATATTATCTTATGAATAACGGGTCCAAGCCCTCACGGTTTTACTTTTAGACATCACCAAAAAGGTCTATCAATCAATGGAGACAACTGTGTGTATATAAACTCATGTTCATCCTCTTGTTTGAATGGTGTGGGATTTTGCTTGCATCCCAACGATCCTCAGCGGAAACTACGAGTATTATCCGATGGTGGCCCGCACAGAGCTCACTCATGCTCTAAGTGTTTGTATCGTCGTTCCATCATGACCTTCCTCATGATAGCGATACACGGAGCGGAGAAGGCTTAATGTTGACACACTTACACAAATGTTTGAAACCTTGCAATTGCGCCCAGCTGTTCGGGTGCAATTGGGTAGGGGCAACATTCAGCACCCTCAACACCCCCATAGTAAATTCATCAAACGGCAGCTTGACTTTGAGATCCCGAATGAGGCAGTCGTACATATAAAACGATTCCATCTTCGCACCACTTTGATCAAGGCAAACCATATCCGGGTTCGGAAAGGCATTATTCCGGCATGACCGAACCCCAATCGGATAGGGTTCCTCGGCGGCGCCAAAATTCAAGCATTTGGTGTAATCCAACAAGTTGGTAATCATGCCCGTGTCTCGGTAACGCGAGTAATAGGAGGTTACCTCCCCGTTTACCCACTCATAACCTGGCACTTCGGACGGACCGTACCGCTGCCGATTTGATACGCGCTTTGTCTTTTGTTGGACCTCTTCGCTCCCACTAGTAGAAGTCTCTCCTGATGAAGAAAGACTTTCATCCGGCCTTTCAGCATCGGTAGGGGACCGAACCATGCTAGAACGACTTGAGGCGTTGGACGAAGACCCCTCGGACGCAGACGACCGAGAGCTGCTGACCGAAGAGCTCGATGAAGTATTAGACATGACGATAAAAACTTACCAATTTCTTTTCAAAACCACAATCGCTCTTCGGATCGGCTTCTCAAACCTTCGGCTACCACAATTCGGATGAGAGCAATACGTGCGAATGGCCCTACCACTCAACCTATTTATAAGCTCAAAAAGAGGCGGGAAATTTCAAGATTTAAGAGAAGATGTAACCGTTCGATCTCCAAGATCTAACGGTTACGATTATGCAACCGTTCACTTTACCCTGGCAACCGTCCTTGCTCTACCCTTGAAGAAAGCCTCACCTTCCTTCAAGGCTGGGGGGCAGTGTACGGGTAGGGGCGTTCGGCCACCTCTGGTCGGCCGCCGAATGGCAGTACTTGGTGGCCGAACGGCAATCGGCCACCAGGACCGAACTATCATTACTCATTGCTCTTAACCCGTGATTAGGGGTTAATCAGATGATTAAGGTGTATTACCTGATACGGTAAATACGTTGCAGGGCCCATGGGGTCCAGGGCCCATAAATGTCAGTATAAATAGCTCAGGTCAAAAGGTAACGTCACTGTTCATTAATTATCCTAGATATCTGTGCTTGTCCTGACTTGAGCGTTGGAGTGCCTTTTGCAGGTACCAACCCCTCTATTCACATCGGATTGGAGCACTCATTCGGCCTTCAGATTACGAGAAGATCATTGGTGTACCCCTTTGTAGGTACAGGTCTCAATCCGACTACAGTGCAGAAATAAACAACTAGTTAATTCGTATTGGCGTATCTTTCTAAAGTAAATTTTAATTGGATAAAACAACTATAGGTGGGTTACGTGAGTCGTTAATACTATAAAGTGGAGCTCTATTTTCGTAATCTAAATGTCTTCAGTGCCCTTGTTTGAGTTTAAAATGAGATATATGAATATGAAGGTGACGTAGATGTAGATGAACTCTGATTATCTTTTCCCAAGAAATAACTTATTGTTTTGCACGTAATCTCGTTACTTGCTATCTATGATCATATAAAGTTAGAGTCAATACTGGATATTTATTAGTGGATTCTCATCAAACAAAAAGCTAGGTCTAAAGGCGACCAATCTCATTTATATATATTCATGCAATCTGTTTTTATCTTGGAAAACATTTCGGGATAATAGAATTTGTTGAGCATAGGGAGTTACCATACATATACACATGTCTCTATATTAGTGAGATATTATCCGTTTTGGGTCCAAGCCCTCACGGTTTTACTTTTAGACATCACCAAAAAGGTCTATCAATCAATGGAGACAACTGTGTGTATATAAACTCATGTTCATCCTCTTGTTTGAATGGTGTGGGATTTTGCTTGCATCCCAACGATCCTCAGCGGAAACTACGAGTATTATCCATTCCACTAAGTGTAGAGACCGTGGCGGGTCGTTACAATTAGGATGAAACTCATAAGTATCAACATAATTAATATCAAATTCAAGCCCAAAATAACTTATAATATATTTTTATTATTTTTTATTTTTAATATATTTTATAACTATCTATAAATATCCATAAGTATTAGTAAATTTTGTGGATAACTATTTAACATATACTCATACAATTATAAGATATATAGGTGGATTCGTCCTTAATTATAAATAATATTATACTATCCGTATCGCGAAGCCGAGCTTAAGCTCGACATTATAGCGCAGATTGACATCAGACATGCGCCACGCGATATTGGCCAAGACAAGGCCCATCATTTGAACAGACTATAATTGATCTCGGGCCCAAAGCCCAGAAAAACCTTAATTCACACTAAGGTACGTGCATTACTTATACGAGACTCATACATTCACAAACACTAACTTTAACATTATAGTCTCTTTTGCAGGTATCATTCCCGCTCTGGAACAGCAAGCGTACCCAGTAAGGAGGCTCATCAATCTTACCCAGCAGATCGTCCCCACGACCAATCTCCGATAAGAATAAATATATTTAACTTTTTTCATGTCCCTTATTATTTATCATTGTTATCCTTAATTACATACCATAGTTTAACTGGATTCCTAGACCCTAAAATAAGTAGCTCATTTAGTTGAGAATTTTCAACTTGATTCACTAAAGCTACAGGTCTAATAAATTTGATTTGCGAGTTAATAGTTGTTACTTTTTTATTATTATTTCTTTTGTGTTTTGTTAACATATTTATTATATTATGAAACTTGATTAAATACTAACAAGTAACAACTTAAAAAATAAAAATAAAAGTAAGAATCACAAATTATTTAAATTTTCTTAGATTTATTTATTTATTTATTTTGTGTTTTTAATTTTTTTTTTCATTTTCATTTTTATTTTTAGTTCTGTTTCTAGATCGATGCTGCTATCCTATGCAGTCGTGGGATTATACAACACGAGTTCAGGCTAAGATAATGAAGTCCTTTTTTCCGTTACGAATTAACCCATTAAATTTGCATATTAATATATACAAATATACCAAATTTTAATCACGACCACTAGAAAAGAATAATACCACCATAAAAGCGCAAGTGTATAATCAACTATGAAAGCTTAATTTATATAAAATGTTAGACAATTGATACATCGAAAACCTTGTGTCAACGAATAAGGTTTGTGTAGGAGGTATAAAGTTAGAGATAATATGTACACAGTTATAAATTTAAATTTTATTATTGTCATTATAATTCTTATCAATAAAAAATATATAAAATTTTATATTAGTCGTCTAAAATTGTTCAACACTTTTTGCTCAATTAGAAACATGTCAAAATCTAAAAGATGTATGTCAATTTTTAGTCTCTAGTATAAATATTATGATAGTCGGCAATAACAAAAATGCATGTTTAAGGAGGTTATTTTTGGAGCCATTTTGAATCTGCCACAGATGTTTGTAGCTAGTAATTCACAGCAAATGGTTAACTATTATTATATATATATATATGACATTTCATATAAGTATAAAATTAATTATGCTTATATTTTACATATATATCTCTAACTCTAACTACGCTTAGGCATTAGAGTGTGTCTAAAACATCTGTCATGTTCCAAGATACTTCAAAAAAGTACTTTTGAACAGGGGTCACTTAATTCTAAATAGACTATTCATTAATATACATTAAAATTGATTAATGTGCAATTTTAATTATAAACTTATTTAAAATTGATAAAATGTGGTATAATTCTTAGGAAAAACTTTCTGTACTATGTACAGTACGTTCCAATCTGAGTAGTAAAGCTGGATCCGGCATGAAGAGAAGGGTTTAAAGGTTGAAATACCTATGAAACTACTTTTATGTCGGAAAGATATTAATGTATGTACTTAAGAACTGAGAGGAGTAGGGGACGGTAGTAACTACCTCAAGTCTTAAACTCAACAAAGAGAACCACTCATGACCTGTTTGGATCCATTTGGAAATGGAGTCTCCTCGCCACAACAAAATTTAAGATGTGTCTACCAAACCATGTTTTTGTCTCGATTTCCTTTTCCTTTTGACTCAATATGCTTCCAAAACTTTCTGCCTCATTTTAACTGCCCTTCATCACTGGATTTTGGACGAAATGCTAAGAAATAATGTCAAACTACCATTAATATAAAATTGACCATACCTTTTGGACATTGGAGTACTTAATTATGATAATGACATGCGAGTTTTAACCATTTTCAATCATTATAGCTTTTTTCTTCTTTTTATTTTCTCTCTCTCCCAAAGGTGTACTAGAATAGGGAGAACGAAAATAAAAAGTAAAAAAAAAATATGATAAGCGATATGTAAGAAAAAGATGAGGGATAAAAAGTGAGTGTATATATAATTATCTTTTAAAATATAAAAATTATTAAAGTAAATTTTATTTTTCTAAATGTTTTTCTTCCATCTTAAATCTTTAGTTCTTTTAATATTATTTTTTTCTAAAACAATTGAAATTTTAGGATTTTAAAGTTTAATTATACACTTTTATCAATTATATATATTAACATGCACTTTCTCCATGGATTATTTACTCTTTTTTTTATAACAAAAATGATATAATAAGGTTGAAGTAATAAAATATTCAATAAAGACTTTTCAATCCAAATTTGTATTCTATAGATGTTAGTTGGTAAAGCCAATTATTGTGCTACATTATGGACCACATTTGGGCTCGTTTGCATTCAGTTTTATTTATATATATATATATATATATATATGTGTGTATATGTATATATATATATAATAAAAAAAAATAAAAAATAAAAAAAGCGATTCAATGATAGTTTTCTAATAATGTACTGTTTGATTCAAATTATGGGAGGGAAAGGAATTTTTAATAAATGGAAGAAGAGGGATAGAGTTTTGCAAAAGATATTTCCAATTTTTACTTTTCTTTAAAAATTACATAATTATTATAAATTTTTTCAAAGCATCTTTTGATTAGAAGAGCATTTTACTTAATACCAAAACTAAAACAAACAGCTATATGAGAATGTGATATGTCTAAAGTAATAATAAGAAGTAAACTACGTTTCTTATGCACGTCGATAAAAGTTCCGATTTTCTAAATATACGTGTAAAAAATAAATAAATAAGAGACAAGACTCAATTCAATTGTCTTTATAAGTTTTGAAAAAAAATAATAACCTTGGACTTTGTTAGAAGAAAATTAAAGAGAGGTTAACCGGACTTTGAATAATATATGAGAAAAAAGTGTAGGTTATCACTAAATAAAATGGATGAAGTTAAAGAAGTTGGAATGTGGTGTTGCCAGTTACCACCACTAAATAACAGGGCCCAAACATTTGATATATTAAATGAGTGGAGCCATCCAATTTTTGCTCTTTAAAGCATGCATGCTTTCGTATATAGTACCTCACCTTATTATTTACGAGGAGTAACTCTAATTCAATGATTAGAAAGTGAAAAATGGTGTTTTCAATGATGGCGAAAATGTTACCAGGATCTTCTCCCAATATGGTACACGGTAACGTTGTATTGTAAGAGAAAATAAAATGTTCAAGAGTCTAGAGAAACTAACAAAGAAAATCCATTTGGAATACAATGAGACTAATTAAATACAATGAAACTCATTTACGTGTAAAATGCCCGAGATTTCATGCCGTTTAAAAATAAGGTTATATAAATTTCATGTTTGAGATATTTGACATAAAAAAAATCTATTGAAATCTCATTTCATTTAGAAATAAAGTCATGTAAACTTTAAATTCAAAATGTCCAATTTTTAAAATGAGAAAGTATGTTATAGATCTCACATCAACCAAAAATATATATATTTTATAAATTAATTTTATAAAATTGAGTTAAATTCTTTATATAAATCTTATAACATGCATGTACTTTCTCTTGGGCCAAATATTATAGTATACGGATTTTTTGTTTTTTTGGGTCTTTACTGCAGAATGTGGATGAGTTAAGAAGATTTAATAGCATTGAGCATAGCAATTGGTACAGAGCAGGACCCAAAACATATGTATTAAATGAGTGGAGCCACATGTTATTGGCACTGTTATTCTTTTATCTTCTACTTTGGTTGTTTTGGATCCATAACATAACACTGAATATCTCATCTCTTATTCACATGCAATTCAGGTGCCACCCATACTCCACAGTTTCGGATTCGAAACCTCTTCGTTTTGCTACTCATAACATATTAGCATGTAAAATGTAACCAGTGTCAAATATGGTTTCATATGATTTCTTATTTTGATATACTATGAGTATAACATTTTATATTATATAATCTTGTCTCAATATATTATAAGAAGAACTGTAAAAAAAAAATTATCGGAGGGTTCTATTTTTCATGTAGTTTTTTTTTATTTTTATCATGATACAACTTTTCTGTTATTAAATAGTACTAGTATAGTAATGTAACTACAATATATCTTTTGATAAAGTAGTTAAAAATGGAAGAATTGAATGGTGAGTGGTAACAATGGCATTTATTGTCCGTCTAATCTCAAGTACTGCTGTATGTACGTGCCCACAATAAATAACTGTCTGCAAATTCCATTTTCTATCCAACTTGTGCTCTCATTCATCATAAAAGAAAAAAGAAGAAAACAGTGTTAGACTGGTTTTATATTGTCATTCTAATTCAAACTTGATATCTATAATAAATTTGTTAAAATTTATAATAATTATTTTAAAAGATATACTAGTATTTACTATAATTTTTAATTAATTGGTGCATAAAATTAAACTCTAAAATCATAACATCTCTCATTCTGTTTTTTCTTGACATATTGGTTTCTTAATTATAAAGTTTCAATTTTTTATTTAAAAAATTGACAATAACAACAATAAAATTTCAAATTATAGCTTTAATCCAAAATATTTCTCTGTATAAAACTAAAGATTAACCCCTCAATTTTTAATAAAAAGTTTATTTAAATTATGCTTAAACTAAATAGAAAGCTAAATATGCTGTAATTTTGGGAAAATTCCTTACAACATATTTGTCATTTGAGAATAAATTATATATGTACAATACAATTTTTTTATTTATAGAGAAGGAGATTCATTAACAATAAATTGCATTACATGACATCTATTTAATTTTATTTATGAAACCTTATCATAACTAACAAAGTCATATTTGTCATTTGAGAATAAATTATATATCTACAATAAAATTCTCCATTTATAGATGATAAGATTCACTAAAGCAATGATGCAGTTTGGGCCACATAAACCTGAGGAAGTGACGTACGTACCTAACCTATTTAGTTTGGACCTTTTTGGTTTTTTTGCTACCAACCATATGTTAATGGTCCAATCCACTAATGCTTTTGTAAGAGCCCGGTACCATGCCACCAAGAATCACGTCATGTGTATTATACTATTATGTAAATATTTGTCTTATTTATAATAAAATATGAATTAAGATATGAAAATATACATTTTAAAAAAAATTAAAAGCAAGTTAATTTAATTAATAAAATATTTTCATTTGAACAAACTAAGAAAGTTCATCACTTTGCTTTAAGAATTTTTTTTTGTTAAGTTAGAAAGGTAATAAAAAATTTACCTCATAATTATTATTGACTTTACTTCTTATATTTTATATGATTATCAATTAAAAAATTAAAAGAGTCTTTAAAATTAATGGTTCTCATATCACAAAAAAAATTGTGGGTGTCTTTATTTATAAGAAGAATTTTATTGAATTTTAAGATATTTTGATCTTCTTGAGATGATAAAGAAATCAAAATTTTACTCTATTAACTATTACTTCATCTCATATGTCTCTACAATTAAGAATGTGAATCAACACTACTTATTGTAAAAAAATATCATAGAATTTTTTCAGTTTAGTAACTTATCCTTATTAGATTAAACTTAAGAACACCAAGTTAACCTATGTCTCGAGATAAGTCTAATAAATATTAGATTAAGAGACTTAATTTTATTTGATAATATAATAATATTAAGAAAGATGAATTCATTTAACACGATGAAAATATTTTTCTTGTTATTGAACTAGATTTAAGATTTTAAATTTAATATTAAAGAATTAATGTGTTTTTTTTTCCTTCTAATATATACCATCCCACTACATGTACAATTGACAAATTCATCAATGAAATAGGAAATGTGGTTGTCTTTAAGGAAGTTGTGCTTATGGTTATGGAAAAAAAGAAATAAATATTTTGTCTTAACAGATAGAAGTCTGATTTCAAATGAACACATTACCTATAATTATGTATGATAATCACAAATATTGTGTAAGAAGGTTTTTCTACAAATGTGAATGACTCTTGGAAAACCTGAAAATGTACTTTATGGATATATGGAGGAAGATCATGCTTATAGTTATGACGTGTGACTAGACATATTCGTGTCCTCGTGTGATTGAGAAGTTGTAATTTATGGGTACTTTTTTTTTTTTCCTATAACAAGTTGTTATTTGTTAGTAGTCAATTATATATCCGTGCGTGACATGATATCAAACAAATTGTATGATCGAGTTTTAAGCGAAATAAAAATCTCGCTCTAATGTCTTCCATGTGCATATGTAATCCGAGTGTCTTGTCAATATCAACAAGATATTGTACACTCATATCATTTTGAGTTTTTTCTTATTTTAATGGCCAATGATACTTTTTTAATGTTTGTATAAGATTCGTTTTTAAGATTATAATTTGATTGGTTGATAAAATGACTATGGATGTTAATTTAAACTAGATGTTAATTTAGATCACTTAAATACTTTTAAGTTCTTATAAAATCAACGAATTTTGATTTTAATTATTGTATTTACTTTTTTAAAATTTATTATAAAATAAGTAAATTTTGATTTTAATATTTATAAAAATATTTTTTTTATTTCTCTAAAATCTAAAATCATTATTTTTATTTCTAACAATAATTTTAAAATATATAAATAATATTTATTTTAAAAATTAATGAAACTTTTTTTTGGAAATGTTACACATGATATCGGTCACTTAATCTTTTAATCAATAAATAAATAATTAAAAATAATTATATAATAATGAGAACTAAAAAAAATAATTCTAAATTTTAGAAAAAAAATAAATATTTTTGTTACAAAGATTAAAATTAAAACTTTTTGAATTGACTAAAAGTATATTTAATATATATATATATATATATATATATATATAATTTAGATTACATATATTATTTTTGACCTTAGTGGTTCAAAAACAAAAGAAACAGAGGAGAGGGCCCAACCGGGTTCGAACCGGTGACCTCTTGATCTGCAGTCAAATGCTCTACCACTGAGCTATGGACCCTTATATAATAATGACAAATTAACTAGGTTGTTGATGATAAACAAAATTTTGTAGATTATGATTAAAAGCCAATTTCCTTCTTCTTCTACTTTTTTTTTTTTTTTTTTACCAACTTTTCCTTTTTCATTTTATCTTCGGCAATTGATTAATTTAAATACAAAAGTAATTACTATAACCTACATTATATAATTTTTTGTAATTATACTATAAAAAATATTCTCTTTTTAAACAATAAATCATATCTAACAAACATTTCTCACCTAACACTTCAAAATATAAACTTAAATTGTATCAAAGATCTTCCTAGATGGTATGAATAGGAATTTATGGTTGTGAAGTGTTGGCAAATAAGATACTAGATCTAGCATGCCACTATCCATAGACAGTCATTGAGAAGTTGTGATTTATTTCCAATCAATTGAATGTGTTTGGCATGTATCAAAATGTAAGACCAAGTTTTGTGTTTTGTCCGAAAGAAAAAACTTAACTCTCCTACCTTCTATGTGCATGAGTTGTGAAGAAAATAATGAGCGTTGTCTCACTGATATCAACCTGAAATTGAAAAGTTGCTTAATTTTGAGTTTTCCTTAATGATGAGTTTCTCCCACAAATACTTAGCATGGAGCTGAAATAGAGAAACATTTGACTTTTCGGTGCCTATAAGCTCAAACTATAGACCAACATAAACTGAACAAACTGACATGTCAATGTGGCAAAAAATTGAAGCATATCTCTCAACATAAAACTTAATCCACTTCCCTTTTTGTGTTACCAAGCTCTACAAGTAAAGTCAAGAGAGCTTCACACATTTCACAAGCATCATGTTCACTAGGACTACGCTTTTTTGAAGAGTACACCATCCAGGCATGATCAAGCTTCATTTTTGGCCTTACAACAACTGATCCTGGAACTTCGGCGTCACGGCATGTCACTAGGCCATCACTCTTTTCTCCATATCTGAGCCGCAGGTGGAGAGCACAAACAGCCATGGCAGCAGATATAGGAACCATTACAGGAACTTGGTGTCTTGATTCAAGAAATGAATCAGACTCAACAATCCAAAGTTTTCGTAGAGGGAGCCAGGGAAGTTCTGCATCAGCTATTTGAGTCATTGTTGCAAGAACGCCAGGGGCAATGCTTGCTTCAGAATGGAAGGAGATCAGAGGAATATCTAAGGGGAGCTTGTGTTTCATGATGAACTCCTTCCGCTTCACGTATGTGAGATCCTCCAAAGCCCGCATGTCACCCTAAAGTATATGTAACTAGCACACAATTAACAACGAAGAGTGTTGGGAAAAACCCAAATTTCAGACAATCCTAGATCATTTTGAAAGGATTATTTTTGTTATATACCAAGTCCCATAGTGCTGAGTATGAGAAGACATATTGGGAGAAAAATACAAGTTTCACGTCGGTTAGAAATAAGATTAATAAAAAGTATATAAGTGAAAGACAATGTTTACTTTACAAGTTAGTTTTGTAATCAAATCCACATTTTGAAAGAGGAAAAGAAAAGGTTGACAAACATATATAGATTTAATACTATGAGTTTTATTAAGGACTTGAATCCTTTAAAGTAAAAAACATAATTTCGATCATTAGCAAGAAAATTAATGGTTCATATTTCAACACATTCATGATTTGTTACCAATGTACACGTAATATCAATAGTTGATTTTCTTATCAGCAACTAAGATTACTCGCTTTAACATCTAATAACGATAGTTGCTCAGTTTAGAGGTCTCAGATCCGAACTTTATGTACATCAACAATAAAGGAGGCCAAAATCAGATGCAGTCGAGACTTACTAGGATTCATCCTGGCATTAAACCTGAGGAAGTTGAAGTAAAATGAAACATGATGTGCTATAGAGAATCTCTACAGTAGGCTAGTTGCCAATTTTAAAACAATAAGTCCATATGAAAGAAGAACATCTTAATCAATTAGCAACATCAAATTCATTGAGCAGGTGTAATAGAATACAATAAAGTGAAAGTTTCTTTTTATGCTACCATTAATAGGTATAAGTTGAAATAAGCAATCAGTACTCTCAAGTCCAAGCACAAACTTAATCGCATAGAAAATAGTTACCTTAATTGTTTTGCATATTATAAGTTCCAAGATCCTCCGTGTTTCTTTGTCAGCAATCTGGCCTTCACGGAGAATATCAGAAGCTATAGGAGAGCCACCATATGGACTCTGAACCAGGGCCAAACCAGCAACTTTGTCCTTCAGGTCAGACCAATACATAGATAATGCAGCAGCAGCATCAATCCCACCCTTACTGTGTCCCAGTAGCATGACAGGCCTGCTTGAACCCCAGTAAATCTCCTCAATGTATAGCTTCAGTTCCAGGGCATTTTGTTCTACGGATGCCTTAAAAGAAAACAAAAGTAAATCTCACTAACAAATGTCACTAATAATAGGTAACTAACTAGCCTATTGTAACTAACTACTAATGAGGTTTTCATAACAAAATAGTGGAAAGAAGAAATTGATCTTTGAAACCGTGTGCGTGCAGAAAAAATTCAAAAGGTACATAAATTTTGAACAAAAATCTAGATGAGTCTCAGCCAAAAACTACAGAACCAAGATTTGTAGTGTGAAAGGAAAATTAGTTGCATTGGTTAAAATCGGTTGAATAATTTAAATAAACTAGTGATCAATTACCTCACTCTGAACTTTTGCAATATGGCAAGCTAAGCCCATCTTTGAAAAGAACCTCTTAGTGGCAACAAAATACAAGGGTCCATGATTGCTAAAGAGACCTGTAACAAGAGACGTGAAGCTTCTAATCTTAAAATGGAATTATATGTATATCTCAATCGCAAAGGAAGATAGAAAAGATTTTGACATACCTGGAATTAACAGATAAACAAATGAACTAGGTAGTGAGTGCTTTCCATTTCTTTAGAATATATTGGGAATACGAATCAGTATCTATTATTAGATTTCATGATATAATTTCTACTGGCTATTTTAAGTTATGAGAGTTTATGGACTGTTAAAAAGTTTATGGGGTACCTTATGTCAGAAAGCAATTCCAAGAATCTTGAAGTTCCATCCTGTACTAGAGGCATTCCAGGAGCATGCTGCAACCATCCAATATCATCAGAAGAACCACGCAAGGTTTTCACCATACGAGATTTAATTCTGAGAAAGCCATTATTTACGAACTATCATTATATAAATGTATTCAGCAAGACAGTAACCAAAAGGATTATGTATACAGTTACTTTTTCTGGCTAAATGATTCAAATCACAATGGATAGACTAAAATGAATAAAGAGAATTTGGAAAAGAAGCAATTTTTTTTCTTGAAAATATATCATTCCGACCAGTTTGCTTCCATAAACCCTTTACCTATGAACATGAACTTGGGCACATTTAATGCATGACAAAGGATATCTCCAGAAGGCCATTCCCAAACTCCAAGCATATATTAGACCGTATAATAGGAGTGTCAAACTGCACAAATATGGGGATAATACAACAACAAAGGCATAATTACAAAATGCTGCAAAGTATTAACAAATAATGGACAACTTTTCCTAATATTCAGGAGAAAGAAGTGAAATTAAATAAATAAATTGATCAATGAACACTCAACTTCATCTAATTTCAACATCTAATCTGTTCATTAAAAATTCGTTGACTGAGTACCAGCTAGACTTAAATTTAAACTCATGCTTTGTTGTTTGTCTGTAGTATTGTTAAACACACAAAATAAAAAGGTTATTTACCCTTTTAAGAAAAAGGAAGGAACAGCTTCAGAGATAGAAATGGCATATAGAACTATAGAACTCGTATCTACAAGCAGTTCTTTACTGTTGTTAGAGGCTCTTTTTTCAAAGATTCCATGGTTTTCCCCTCCGATTTGGGAAGGTTGCAAGGATGTGCTTCTGGTTGAACCGTGAACTGAAGGGATGGCCACTGGAGTGACCCCAAGACTTTCTGTGTACCTAGCTATTTCTCTAAGTACAAGATCCTCTGCAGTGTTGGCATCATGTAAAATGTAGCTATATTATGTTTTACAAAGGCACACAGAAAAAGATGATTGGAAAATTACAGCTTTCTATATTTGTATAATATGCTCCGTGAAAAGGAGAATAATCTAAAGCAATCATGCAGAGACGGAAATCAAGAACTCACCTATAAATTGTAAAAATCGGTCACTAATATAATTTGTCAATCTAAAAAGTTTGGTGAGTATGTTATCCATGAATTAGCAAAATCCCATCAAATCATTGCCGCGGGCCTGAAATGAGGAAGATTTATACAAAAATGTTTTTTGTAGCAGACATTGACATCTGAGTCACAAATGATCAAGCTAAGTCAAAAACAATTCATTCTTATTATGAGCTTATGACAAAGTTTAACAAGGAATTAGAGGAGCTAACTACTATGAGCATGACTACCATTAATGAAACTTTCTCCCTATTGGCTGAAAAATTATAGTTCGTAAGCTAATCCATGAAATGGGTAAGGAGTCACTTTGACAAAAAGGGAGAAAGCCTATAGCAAATAGAATTCAAGTTAAGAAACAAAAGAGCAATCCACTTCAACACAGACAGAGAAATAAAAGATTATATTTTTTCTTAAAGAAACACAGATTGATCCAAGTACGCATAGCAATATCTCAACGGAGAAGACCAAAATAATTGAATGTGGATAGAGTGGTTTACAACATATGGTTGGAACTTGAAGCCTGTCAAAAGAAATGGTTGCAAGTTGCAAATACAGACACATTTTCTCCAAAAAGAATATCAGTGAGAATTTTTATATATAATTAATTTATAAGAAAGCAAAGAATGATGGGATGTATCATGGATAGCTATGTGATGTGAGCAATCGTTACCTTGCTTTATCACATCAACATCTCCTTCGAGGCAGTTTAATTTTAAATACAGTAAAATTAATTCTTAACTGTTCAACGTAATCTGATACATCTTTAAATTAATGTCACCTATAAATTTTACATTGAAACACATAAAATAATGTGGTTGGTCCACTCGTAATTTTTCTTTTATAGCATGCATTCCATGCCAACTTAAACATATACTCGATTTTTTGGTTCATAACGGAATGGGGCAAGCCACAGTTTTTTTTTTTTTTTTTTAAACTTATTTTGCCTGCTTTCTCTGAAATTCACAGAAGCTTTTTAAGTCAAGGTTTGTATTTTTAAACTGTCACTCACAAGTGTACCACAAAAAGTCAAAAGTAGCGTCTATTTCGATCCAAATACAGGATAATGGTAAAAACAACCTTAAAGTGTGGGATCCTCTAATGGAATGGATAGGACAGAGATGATTATTGCCTTCTCTCTGAAGAAAGACGGGACACGTGGAGTATTGGGAACAAAATCCTGGGATGTCGTGGACCTTCTGTAATTTCATGAGTCGGTTTCTGTTACAAGTGCCTCAGTGGCTATAAACATGCTAGTGATGAGAGAAAAAAATACACGTTAATAACTAGTCATGTTGATAGTAAACTACTTTAATTAATCTCCAACAATGTGATAACAATGGAGATAACATGCACATATTAGAAATGGTTTTTTATGACTATATGATCCCATTTGTGGGTACCTTTTTAGTTATAAAGCAAATAAATAAGTGTTTATTCTGATTTTCGAAAAAATTGTGATTCCTCTCAAAATAGATAAAGCTGGAAACTCACGGGAAATAATCTGTTTACAATTATATATATTTAACTTAGATCATTGATAGCTGCAGGATTCTAAACATGCATTGCAGTTCAGATATGCTTTGTACTGTGAGAGCAAAATGGAAGAATAAGATCATCAAGTGATAGATTTCCAACTAGAAATCAATCCCCAAACTCAAGGCAACTTATGCACCTAAAGCAGAAAGCAAGAAGCAATTCTATTTTTCTTTTGGCAATCAGAACTAAGGGATCAAGACAAAGGACGCTGAGGATGACAAGTGACAACAGATCGAGGGTGTGACGTGTGAGAGGATCTAAAACACAATCCTATCTATTGGAATTGGACACAAGCCCAAACCCATTGCTCTGATAAAATATTTGTATTATTGAAATCTAAGGCAACTTGAGGCTGCAAGATTGGCATTTAAAAACAACAACCTGACAGTCAGTTGTATGTGTAGCACTATAAAAATTTTAAAATATGGCCAAGAACAAAAGTACAACAAGCTTTTGTTATTGGTTAATTACGTGCTTCCTTTGCATACGTTCAAGAGAAATAATAATATGATACAGCATTTATCCATACAGAACAATCTAAAACCGAGTACATATCCCAAGTCCCTACTATATTCTTTCACGAGTTCTCATTATCAGAAATTCCCACTTCTTTTTCATAAGGTCTTGTGAGGTGTGCTTCTGCATTCTTTTTGAGAGGGCTCGAATGCATCATCATCTCACCTTTATTTGAAACACTCTATTATACCAAATTGAATGAAGGGTCATGTGGAAGAGGTCATACTTCAAGGGTTTTACATGCCAAAAAAAATGTTTCTGAGCCTTTCTGACCCCAAGTTGCAACTTGAGATACTTCTCTTGTGACACTGAAAGAAGTACCTGCTTCAAGTTGGGAATATCTTTCTCTGCAAGGATTATTGAGAACGCATCCCAATTCAAAACCTCAAAAAAAGGTGGCACAAAATTGTCAGATATAATCACAGGCACACACTCATAAAATATGGCTTCGACCACCCGTGGACTATTGACCTCATACCCTTTAGGGCATATACAGTATTTGCTGTTCTTCATGTGATGAATGTAATTCATTTTGTTTACAACACCACGAGGCATTGGGCCATATATCTTCATATCAGGGTCTTTCTCCTTCCAGTGTTTTAGCAATATTGGACGCAAATAACCATGCATATTTCCAGCATAGAAAGCAAGGATGGATCGTTGGTGAGGAGGCTTTCCTCCCAGATCTCTCTGAGGATTTTTTACTGACCGGACATAAGCTTCCGGAAGAGAAACATCCCTTCCTATTTTAAAGCCTTGAGTTACATCAGCATTGCAGAGGGCTTTTATGCAGTATTCCATATGGTGTCTCGTTTCATATGGAGCCTGCAACAGTCCAGTTATAAATCTTTTACTAACATGCTCAAAAGCAGTGTTATGCTACACACGAGACTACTGATTTATTTACTGACGTGCAAACTACAAAAGATATCTAAGGATGATGTAACTTAGCAGAACACTTCATATAAGAGTGAACTGTTTTACAACGTGATTCCATCAAAGTTTGTTATGTTTTTACCCTTAAATTCACAAAAATGAACATGATATAGATAGACAAATACGATTCCTCAAAGTGAATATGTCACACCTTAAGACATTAAAGAGACATTCAATTCAACCATCATATATAAAAAAAATTATGTTGGAACTTGGAAGGTTGGAACAGTATATGGTTCATGTGCAAGAAGAAATAAGGGGAAAAAAATAAAGAACATATAACATACCCAATCATGGCAAGCAACAAGAAAATGGTCAGCACCACCAGTTCTGTTGAAGTAATGATATTTTGCAGAAATTTTATCTGTATAGTCCTTCAAAAACCGACGGAGATTTGTTCGATTATGAGAGTTACGTACATAAAGGGACTTCTCTAACATACGTGAGCTGAATGGCATGTAGAACATGTGGGCCTTTGCAGGATCCCCCACAACAAAATGCTTATTTTCCTCCATCAATTTCATAAACCAACCCTCCGAGGCATACAGGCCCTTAAGTATAGGTTCATGGAAGATGGGTTTATTTCCATCCTGGTATATATAAACTTTGAGTGTGCGTTCCATGAGCTCATAACTCCTGCAAATCTCAAGAAAAAAAATCAGATGATCTTGAGCTTTGGTCATTAGTAGGTCAGACATAAGTCAAAGGCATGCAGGTTCAAACATGTGAAGCCCAATATCATATTTAGAGTAAATATTAAGATGAATTTGTGATTAAGGTACATTCCAAAATTATTATACCCTTAAGGGAAGTGTTCTGAGTCAAAGCTCAAAAATTTAAATGATCAATTAGAAGAATCAGGTGTATGAAAAACAAGCTTGAGTCAGAACATATGCATGTCAAGGAAGGACTTACTTTAGTTGAGTTCATATTTCCTTTAATAAATCCATCAAGCATACCTTTTGAACATAGAAAGATTGCGAAAGAGAGGAGCATAAAGCTCTTTGTCATGTGTTACTATAGGAGCATGCTCAATCTCCAACCTTGCAGCAAGAATTTCCAGGTCAAGTTTGGATGACCACCTTGGTCTCTGCAACCAAAAATAGAACTCCAGATTGAAATAACCATAACAGTAACTTGTCCAGGTAGCTAGTTCATAATTGACAAAGATACTGATATTAATACCATTGCACGAGAAGACGCACGGCGGCGCACTAGTATTTGGTTCATCTCCTGAATTAATGTTCTTGACTTAGGTGGCATCATACACCTCATCTTTCTCCTAGGAGTCCTCACTGCAGTACTGTTATCTGATACAGAAATGACATTTTTCTGGGGAAAATTTTCAAGATGAGGCAGATTAACAGAGGAAGTTGCACTGTGTGAGGTATGAACACCAACCCCATTATGTTCCCTTGAATCCGTATTGTTATTTTTTACCAACCTAGAGGTTCCCCGTTTTGTCTCCAAAAATTTCTTCACTGAAAAGTCAATCTCACTGCCCTTGGCAAAAACTGCTATGAAATTTTTGGAACCGACACTCTCCAACTCCAATCTGTCACCTTTTCTGACATCTTTCTTCCCAGCTAAACTGCGAACATCATTTCTATCAGCCCCGAGTTCAAAAACATCATTATTAGAGTTGTTTCTTTCGGAGACTAAACCACCCTTTTCATCATTGCGCATTCCCTTTTTCTCACCGAGCCCAACTTCATCTTGAACAATAGGAATGTGCACTTTTTCCACCGTAGCAATGACAGCAGGAGAACCTGTTGGTGGATTCCAAATGGTGGAGTACTTTGGAGTTGAATGTAATGATGGAAAGCTAACTTTGTCATGCTTTTGGTTTTGGGGCACCGAAGACCATGGGGCATTTCCATTTCCATATGGAACCAATATTGACTGAAATAGTAAATAATTAGCAGCAAGTACCGCCAACAGAAAAAGCAATTTCCGGTTTCTCATGTGACATAAGTTCATAACAAGTGAAAATATTGAAACAGGTACACCATTTAAGAACCGAGATGACACCAAAATCACTTCATTCTTCGAAAATTAGCTTTAATCTCCTCATTCCCAACACACTGCTGCAAACATAAGTTCCCAAATAAATCACTAGGGAAGCTTGAAGAACAAATCAACGGATCCTATTAAGAAAAATGGAACATTAGATAGTTACGAGGGTTGCAGAAAGGCTAGAGAATTATTGTGACTGAGATCAAGTAATTAAACGAGTAGAGTCTAAACTTTTACTATTTTCAACATGCATGGAACTTGAGGAGCATGAAGAAAGCGTAAGCAAAGAGTTCAAGATTGTCATTTGTTTCATCTCTTCACTAAAGGGAACAAGACAACGTAGGGAAGTGGAGTATGCAGTACTAACCTCAGTACAGTAAAGATCGAAAAGACACACTTTGAAGTTTGAAGCACTCTCTCACTAACTCTCTCTCCTATTTCCTGTATTTGACTTTCTCGGCACCAAACAAAGAAAGAAGTACTCACGCCCTCGAACTCAAAACATCAAATTAATTAATTATTTAATTACTTCACTATTTATTTATATAATTATTTTTAATAATTACTGTGAAATTATTTTTTTTATTTATAATTATTTATGCTTCTTCTCTCTCCTATTTTATTCTCACATCTTCTCTTTCTTATTTTTTATTTTCCTTACTTTTGTCTTCTTTCTCTATAGTATTCCATGTTCGGTTTATTAAAACTTTTAACTTTAAACATTATTTTTATTTTATTCTTTTTCATTCTCTCGTTCTCGTGGAAATATTTTTTTTTCTTTACTAATGAATAATTTACAAAAACAGTTTTATAATACTATTTGTAATATTTTGATATTATAACACAATAAAGATTTATTGTTTTATATAATATATGAATATTTTTTAATTTATTTTATTATAGTAAAAGATAGATGAGTTTTATATATACTAAAGATAAAAATAACAGTGATAAATTTTATGTGTTCTAAATTTTTCACAAATTTCTTAATATTTGACATCTTATATAGAATGTATTTGAGAAAGATTAATTTTCTAATAAATATTTTTTTTCTTTTTTAAAAAATAAGTTGCTTTTTATGAAGCTAAAATTATAAATTTATTATTATTATTCAACAGATTTTTTCTTTTTAACTTATGTACTACATAATTATTTTTTTAAAAAAATTTAATGTATTATATTTTTATAGATTTTATGATTTAATGCTAGATAATTGAAACAAGATTTAAAAAAAAAAACTTAAGAAAATTAGTCAATACAACTAGATTAAATTAAACCTAAAATATTATCATCTAAATGTTTTTTCTTTCTTTTCTCATCATATCAATCAACACACTTTATATTTTTAAAAAATATAAAATATTTTTCTTACCCCAATTTTTATTTTTAAATGTCTCTTTTCCTCTCACACCATATCAATTAACACACTTTATATAATTATATGATATTTAAAAATATTTTCTTTTCTTTTTAATTTCTTTAAACTTTTATGATTTTTTGTGTTTTATTTATTGTGCCAAAATTAATTATTACTGCAAATTAGTTAGATTCTTAAACTCATTTTACTAAGCGGGACATAGTGGGAAGGGAGGGACAGGACAAGACAAAATACAAGTCATTTTGTCACTTCCACTTCTAATATTTCTTTTAAATTGATTTACTGCATAATTATTTAATTTTTCTTAAAAAAATTTAACGTGTTACATTTTTATAAATTTTATGATTTAATATTAAATAATTGAAACAAAATAAAAAAATCTTAAGAAAATTTGAAAATAATTGTAAAATAGTGAAATATATTTATTATTTTACATTTTAAAATTTGAAAATATTTGAATTTAAAAACAATTTTTTAAAATATTAAAATATATATATATATATATATATATATATATATATCATACCCAATAAATACAATATATACATTTAATTTAAAATAAAAATATTAAATAATAAATTTTTTTAATAATTAAGTATTTTCTTAATGGTCTTCACTTTTTTTTTGTTATGTTCGACACTATAAGATTGATTTTCACTCATTACATAAACACTAAATATTTTCAGTGAGAGTGTATTATTGATTGTCTTTTTAACACACATACTTCTTCCGAACTCAATTATAAACTTTCATTAATTAAATCTTATATTAAGAATAAAAAAGTGTTAATTAAATATAAAATATTTTAGAAATGATATTATTAAATAGAGTAAACTTAGTTAATATTTATTTATATTTAAATTCACGAATAATATATATTTTTTACTTGTATGAGTTTGAAGTGAATAAACCTCAAAAAAAGAATGCACACTCCACACGAATAATCAATCCATTTTTTCTCTCTCTTAACACTGGTACACACATTTTTTACACTTACGCTTGTTTCTTTTATCATCATTAAAGTGAAAAATGAGAAGCACTTTATCCTCTTCTTCTTCTCCTCCATGGCTATGGCTATGAAGCTCTCACACACTTTCCCCATCTTCGGCCCACCCCTCGACCCAAACCCAAACACGCGCCCATCCACGGAGCTCCGACTCTCCCGCTGGACCAGCCCGCCCTCCAATGCCCGCCGAAAGCCCCGCCCCACCGGCCCACTAAAGAGGTCCAAAAGCCCACCACGGCCCAACGTGGACCCGCAATCGCACCCCGCGCTCAGGTTCTCCAACATTCCCAAATCGAAGCCGCGGCCGGTAACCGCCATCCCCGAAAACGTCAAAATCAGCGACGACGGCCTCTCCTACCTCATCGACGGTGCCCCGTTCGAGTTCAAGTACAGCTACACAGAAACCCCCAAAGCCAAACCGATCAAAATCCGCGAAGCTCCGTTCGTGCCGTTCGGACCCACCACCACGCCGCGGCCGTGGACGGGGCGGGCGCCGCTGCCGCCCAGCAAGAAGAAGCTGAAGGAGTTCGACTCGTTCGTGCTTCCGCCGCCGCACAAGAAGGGGGTTAAGCCGGTTCAGTCGCCGGGGCCGTTTTTGCCGGGGTCGAGTCCTCGCTACGTGAAGACGAGGGAGGAGATTCTGGGGGAACCCTTGACGCGCGAGGAGATTCGTGACTTGGTTAAGTCCTGCATGAGAGCCGAACGCCAACTCAACATAGGTTGCTTCGTCTCTACTTTCTTTTTTTTTTTTTTTTGCGTGTTTTTGAGTTTGAAACTTGAAACTGGAAAGTTCAGTGTCTCTTTTTTTGTGTTGCTAGGTAGAGATGGTTTGACGCATAACATGTTGGATAATATACATGCTCATTGGAAGCGGCGGAGGGTTTGCAAGATCAGGTGCAAGGGAGTGTGTACTGTGGATATGGATAACGTGTGTCACCAGTTAGAGGTTCCATTCTTTTCTTTCCTTTTTTAGTTTATTTTCTGCAACATCAGCACACAAATTTTTACAACGTTAACTAATTAGAAATCATGTTAACTATCACTTCCAACCAATATAGTTGTGGTCAATGAATGAAACCACTTCCACCGGCATAGCTCTCCCGACTGCTTATTTCCTCCATTCAGATTGGATTCCTTTACTCAAGGGAAACCTGACTCAATTGGAGTACAACTTATATCTCTGCTAGGCAACTTCACTCAATAACAATTGGTTTTAAGATGAAATCCTACATAATATAGAGCCTATAATTTATCTTGGTAAGTCACCAATTCTAGTATTCTTGCTTGTTCTGGCATGCTATCTATGGATTGCACCACAACCGGTCTTGGAGCAATCCTGGTGCCTATCCTAACGGGTCGTGGTGGTGTTGGAATATTCTACATCACCAATTGTTTTAAGATGAAATCTAACCCTTGCAACTTAAACCAGTGAACATTGCTGATAAACAGAGCAAAACATAACATAGTTAAATATGTATTTGTGTTGAATTAAATTCACCACCTAAAGTATTCAAACAATCCTACAGCATTACAGTATGAATTAAATATAATTTATATAAATCATGATAGGTATGATTTTTAAAGTAGTTATGGTTGATGTATAGATTGTTCACTCCTTTTTTTTTTTAACTAAAAAATAATAATTTAAGTGTACTGACATGGTAAATGGTTTTGACTTCTTTAATAACTACTTGAAAGTTCTACTTGTACCTAGCTTGATTCCTAATAAGTTGATGGTTGACTGATGTAAAAATCTTTACTTGCGTAGAAATTAAAATAATAAAAAAAATCATGAGAAGTTTTGGAAGCAATACTTTTACTGGGTGTTGCTTTGTTACAGTGTTTACTTTTTCTCCTTTGCTTTTTCTAGAAAATAAAGTGGTAAAGCAATATAGGTCAGCATGTCATATTGGAGAAACTCTCATTCATGTCTGATGTTTGGAACACTCTTTTGCAAGTTGACAAGTTCTTTTCTTTGGTTTTCCTGTATGACCTTAAAATGTCCGTTTCTTTTTCTTTGCAATGGTTTACCTTAACCTAGTTTTGTGTAGTGGCTTGTACCTTAACATTTTTCATTGAAAAGATATCAATCGTGTTTCATTGTTGCGTAATGTTTTTTGCATATTTTCGTCTCCTCACATATCTTGCAACCCTCAATCACTACCATTGATGTTGATGATGAGGGGAGGAAAGATGATGATTGAAGAAATGCGAGTGTTGAAGGGAAATGGAAATTTGCAAATAACATTGACCTTCATTATTTGTGTTCCTCATGCCTCATTATCTGATTTTCCAGGAAAGGACAGGGGGGAAAATCATATACCGAAAGGGTGGTGTGTTGTACCTGTTCCGAGGCAGAAACTACAATTATAAAACACGCCCACATTTTCCTCTGATGTTGTGGAAACCGGTGCCTCCAGTTTATCCTAGGTTGGTTCAGCGAGTTCCTGAAGGTCTAACACTAGAAGAAGCAACTAAAATGCGTCAGAAGGGAAGCACATTGATTCCCATATGCAAGCTAGGTACCTTTTTAAGGAAATTCACCAGTTTATCAATGAAGAAAAATTAATGCTCACCTGGCATCTAGCTGTCTTTCTCTCTCTCTCTCTCTCTCTTTTTCTCCCTTTCTGATACACATACTTAATTTTAATGCATTGGCTATTTTTCCTTGTTACAGGAAAAAATGGTGTTTATTGTAACCTAGTAAAAACTGTCAGAGAGGCATTTGAGGAGTGTGAACTAGTGCGTATAAACTGTCAAGGACTAAATAAAAGTGACTATCGAAAGATTGGAGCTAAATTGAGGGTATAACCAATTTTGCATCCAGTGTTGAAGATCATCTGGATCAGATTTTTTCCTATTGTTTTGGGTTTTTTAATGTTAATTAATGAGGATGCTATATTAAAATATTTCTTTCACATCTATTCTTTTGACTGTAGGATCTTGTTCCATGCACATTGCTTTCGTTTGAATTTGAGCACATACTTATGTGGAGAGGACCAAATTGGAAGTCCTCTGTTCCAGATCTAGGAGATGACGACTTCAAGAAAGCCAATAAAATTGAGGTTGACGATAAAAATTATGAACCACCGCTGTCAGAGGCCCTAGAATTCTCAGCACCAGCTCAACAGAAGAACCATGTAGAACATGCAAGCAATTTAACACATGACACTAGCATTTGCTCTAGTTCAAGTGATGTGATTTTGGAGAAGGTCGAGGTGCCATATCCCATTGAAAATAGCAATCAATCTATATCTGGGGTTACTGAAGTTGCTTCACTTACAAAATCGTATGAAGTTGAAACCACAAATAATGCCACAGGCTCCGATGCTGAGCCTGAACCTTTCACGAGCTCCAGTCCAAGTATGACCTTATCAGACTATAATAGCCATGCTGAATGCTCCTCAAATGTTATGAGTGAGAGCCATGGAATCGAGAATGTAATGGATAGCAAAAGCTTCAGTGATGGTCTTTCTGCTTCAATTTCAGGATCTGATGCAACACTAGGAGGTAATTATATCATTGGTGACATAGATCCTCATTCTGATAAGTTGCTAGATGCTTTGGTAGAAGCAGATGTCAATCAGCCACCTAGGTCAGCTGCTCCTTGTATGAAAAAAATCTTATTACTGTTGGAACAAGCTGTTGAGAATGGTGGTGCACTTGTTTTAGATAAAGATTCTTTGGATGCGGACAATATTTATCAAAACACTGTCGCCTTTGCCAAATCAGCTCCACCTGGACCAATTTTTAGGAAACACAAAAAGGTTGTGGCTCAAAAAAGTGATAAGCAACATGGTTCAACTTTGGAGACCAAAGAAACTACCACTGTTTACATGAAACAGAAAAGGGAGAAGAGTACTAAAATTCATAGAAAAACAAATTTTGATGACCAATTACTGAATGTTGTACCACAAGGAACACTAGGAGTTGATGAACTTGCTAAACTTTTAACATGATGCTAAATGCTGTTTTCAAAAGTTCTGATGCCATTGTAGTGCATTTCTATTTCATTCGAATCATACTTGGTGCATCTGTTAACAATATGATAAATTTTGTTCTGCTCTGTCCGTTGCATTACATTTGTTACGTTGCGTAGTATAATTACAATATTATCTCGATATGGTTTCCTCGCTATCATTATTTTATTATCGACTTCCTCATAACTTTAGCCTATGGCTCGATGTCTAATGCTGTGTGAAATAAAATGAAATGTAACGGAGTGGTATGAAACGAAATGAGATAAAATTATCATAACGTTGTTTTCACATTTCATGAAGAAATGGTATGGAGGTTTCATTTCATTGTTTGAATTGCAGGTGGAGTGAAGAGATTGTTGAATAATAAGATAGTCTATCCATATTCTCAGGTTGGAATGGGAGACATAAAATTTTAACACGAAACGGATGAATTGCATTTAACCCTTATTTAAGTTTCACATTTATTGTCATCTTATTTTAAAGACTTTAAACAATGATAACTAAAATCTTTGTAGTTCATTATATAACTTGTCACTACTCTAAATATAACCTTAGAAGAAAATTCTCATCGCTGGGGAAAAGAAATTCAATAAATATTAAAACAACAAACTATATATAAAATAAATGCCCTAGCTCATTTATTCTTTAGACAAAGAAATTAAAGTAAGAAACAATTGGCTCAAAAAAATAAAAACCCTAGACTTAATAAATCTATCTTGTTGAGAATTTTAAACAGCCGCTGCTGGCTTTAGGTCTTGCTCCGACCCCTCTCTTACAACGTTCTTCCAGAACCAATGGTTTTCAAAAAGAAGATAAATCTCTTCAATTGGAACTTTCTTGGTTTCCGGCAAGAGGAAGAAGACAAAGCAACTCATGAAGACAATTAAGGCAGCAAAGAGCAAGAAGATCCCATATTTGAGGTGGCAAAGTGATAAGAGGAACAGTTGAGCAACAAGTGCAGTGAAGATCATGTTGACACAAACCACAATACTCTGTGCAGCTGATCTTATCTCTAATGGAAAGAGTTCACTAGGAACCAACCATCCAAGAGGACCCCAAGATCTCCCATACGCCAAAACAAATAAGAAAATCACAATCACCAGCAACGCACTGGTTCCTTTCCCAAGTTCTTTGCCGTGTCCAAACTCCAACGCCAAAACCACAGCCGTAATAATCTGCAAAGTTCAATCAGCAATTCCATTAGCATTGCATTTGTTAGATGATGAAACCCAAGGACAATAATAGCATAAACAAGTATTTACCATGCAGCAAATCATTTCAAAGCCGGCTTCCAAAAAGAATTTTCTTCTACCAAACTTGTCAACCAAAAACATTGAGATGACAGTGGCAACAAGGAGAGCTCCATTAGTAATAAAAGATGAAAACAATGCAGCATTAGCACCAAACCCCAAACTCTGGAAAATGACAGGGGCATAAAAGAGGATGGAGTTATTCCCAGTTAGTTGCTGGAATGCTGGAATCCCCAAGGCACCTATAATCAGCTGTGGCCTGTACTTCCTCTTCAAAAGTGTACTAAATGGGCTTGTCACTGCTCGTGCTTCCTCACTCGCTTCTTTAAGATCTTCAAATTCAGCATCAACATTCTTGGTACCTCTAACTTTCTCCAATACCTTCCTTGCTTCATCCAACCTTCCTTGCTCCACAAGGCTGTTAGGTGTCTCCGCACAAAAAATGCCTCCAAAAAGCATAAGAATTGCTGGAACACCTGCCAAACCCAATGATATCCTCCATCCATGGGGATGGATTTTATCAGTGAAGTAATTCACCAGATTTGCAATTAAGATTCCAGCACAGGTTGTGAACTGAAACAGTTGGTTAACTGCTCCTCGGTTCTTAGCTGGAGCCATTTCTGAGAGATACAATGGAACAGCCTGCACAATTGAATGCACCGGTAAGAATAATATTTCTCTATAACTATTATGTCAATCAAGTGTCAAAATAAATGTTTGATTGATTTTGGAGCGATTGACTTACTTGGTTGCCAAAACCAATGCCTCCACCAAGAAGGACCCTGCCAATGATTAGCATAGCAATGTTCTTGGCTGCTGCATTGAGGATTGCCCCAGCAAGGAAGCTGAGGGCTCCCGCTATGATACTGGCCTTTCTTCCCTTCTTTTTTGTTAAGAAGGAAGCAAAGAATGTCATGACCAGTGCTGAGAAATAGAGAGAGGATGTAAACAGCGTCAGCACTTGGTTGTCATATTTACAATAATCCGTCTCATTCAGATGCTCATGCTTCCTTGTGTACACGTCTGGGAAGAATTCCTTCAGGAAATCGTCCATTGAAGTCACACCACCTGAAACCACAACATCCCAAGTAAATCAATGTACCAACCATAAATTATCAAGACACTGCAGTCTGCAACTAAAAATGCCATTTAACAGTGATGCACATTGTTTAACATCACAGGAATTGCTTCCTATGGAATACGACGTGACTGATTATCCTTCTCCAAAGACATTTTGTGATTTCTAATGCCTAGTAAAAATAAATTCAATTAAGATAAACTGAAAATGTTTTTTTTAGTCTCATCATAACTGACATAGAATTAACCAGTAATATTTTTTATAATAATGATTTTAAAAAATAATAGTTAGGATAATTTTTAATTAATATAAAAATCTTCATACTCACGAATCAAAACTAAATAAATAGAACTAAAAGAAGCAGTGCAGAATCGCCGGAGAATTGCAGGTGCAGGTATCATGAATTCAACAACGTACGACATTGTAGCCGAAATTCTCGGCAAAGTTTTCCGGTCAAGTAAGATATGCATGAATATGATATTCATATCGAATATCGCATATGCTGCTGCTGCTGTTGTTTTAAGATCGTTCCGTAATTTAAAAAATCAAAACTATGTTTTTTCTTTCACAACAAAAATTCATAAAGAAGAGTTTAAGCCAACAAAATATATATATATATTCATAAACTGATAATTAACAATGAATACGTAGACAACAACAACCACAATACTAGTCCGGCGTGTTCGTTTTTAAAAAAAAAATAATAATAAAGCCAGCAACATCAATCATTAAACGCAGGACATCCAATCTCACATATTCCTCCTTAAAAAAAACAAACACGATGTCAAATTCGTGGTGAACAGATTTAATTGTCTTTGATTATTTTTCATTCAATGTAATTCAGGAACGTGGTGAATCTCAAAGATAAAAAAAGAAGGGGGGGTTAAACGAATAAAAAGAACATTAGATGGGCGAGTTAGAGTGAAATAAGAAGAACATTAATGCAAACAGAATTGAGAAAAAGGAATTGAGAGAAGAAAAGGGACCTGAAACACCGAGATCATAACCGAAAAGAGAACCACCAAGAGCCCCAACAAGGCATGTAAAAGCAAAATAATAAGTGAACTTGTGCTCGTAAAGATGAGCCCTTTTCCCAGGGGCTCCACTTTCCACTCCTCCACCTGCCATTGCCCTCTCACTTCTCACAATTCACAATTCAGAAGAGAGGTTCACCAACTACTATACAAGACACACACTTTTCACTTTCTCTTCACACCCACTTATTCTATATATAATAGTCTCAGAGTCAACCTACGTAGCTTTTTTTTATTTTATTTTCTCTTTTAATTCAAATAAATAATAATTATAAAAGATATAATCTAATTTTCGTTTTTTTTATATTTTTTTTATATCAAATAAATCTATTTTTATCTCTTATTGGATAACGTCCAATGACAGTGTACGTGAGTTGGACGGGTAACAGCTAACAACACCCTAAAATTACGTAAACATAATTAATGTGTACCAATTTTTATTTTGGGAGAAAATGAATGTGTAACCCTTCAAAACATAGAACACACAACTTGCATTTAGTGGTACGCCATTATGTCCAGATTAGTCTTTTACATTTTATTTTTCTTACCCTTTTCAGATATTAAATATGTTAAGCTAAGATCATTAGACAGTGGGTTTTAAATTATAGTGTAGAAATGAGGATAAAGATGGAAATGAGTCAGATTTGAATGTGGCTTAATTGGATTTGGAGTAAAGACTAAAAGAGTGTTCCAATCTTATCCCGTCATATCTCGTGCCAACTTGTCAATGGAAAATGCATATTTTGTCTAATTGGGTGGCTGTGGCTATTTTTGTCAACAATCATACATGCATTCTATTATTTTATTTTTAAATTTTAAAATAGTCAACTGTTGTCTCACAATAACTGTTACAAGACAGAATGTATCCTAAACCAATGATAAGATAAAACTAATTATCATTATGGCTGGTTCGGTTTCAAAATTCAAGGATGGGATATTTAAATTAGTTTCTTGTTGATAATTAGTTAAACTTAGATTTATCTTAGTTTGAAATTGATAAATAAATGATCAAATTTAACGATAAAATAATTTCTTTAAGGACTTAATTTAAACTTTTTATTCTCTGTTACTTTTATTTTTAAGAATTTCATACGGTGACATTTACAATAATTACATTAATAATTTTACATTATTATCTAATTACAAAATTTTATATAATGACTTTTATAATAATTATATTAAAAATTATATTTATCATAATTTTTATTGATTAACAATATATTATATATTCAATGCATAAAAATATACTCTTAATTTTTTTAACCAGTATTTTAGTATATTCATTATTCAAGCTAAATGTCATTATATATAAATAAAATTTATAATACCTATATATATTTTAATATAAGTATTATAAATAAATACTAGATGTTCATTGTACAAGATAAATGTTCACTAAATTATGCATATAAATAAATAATAGGTATTTTAATATATAAATTTAAAATTTATATAAATAAACATTTTTGAATATATAAATCAATCCATATATATTAAATATGGCTAGCATAATTCTAGTCTCACTTATGCAAATTAGTTATTAATTGTCAATTTTGAGACATTAGACCATATTCATGAATAAAAAAATAAATGAACTTCTATCTTGTATGAGAATATTTTTAAGGAAATTTTCTTTAATAAAAGGGTTTGTAGAAGTTTCTTTTAACTTCTTATCTAATTTAATTTTTATTTATCATATTTATTTATAAATTAAATAATAATAT